AAAAAAAAAAAAAAAAAAAAAAAAAAAAAAGAAGAAGAAGTATGAGCTCATGGGGTTGTATTTGTGGGAGAGTTCTTAAGTATGAATAGTTTCTAACACATATATAGAGCTGGTCACATATTCTGTTCCTCTTGAATCACTTTTGATAAATGTTGAACCTGGAGAGCTCCTCCTTACTCTGTGGCCTGCAGTGTACCTCCAGGCAGAAAGCAGGTCCAATAACGGTGCTTTCCTCATTGACTTGTCTTTTCTCAAGGGCCACAGTTCCATGTTGCCTACTGCCAGTATCTAAAAGACATTTGTTTTGTGTCTTTTATCCATCTGTCTAGTTCTTTCTGGCAGAAGGGTAACTCTGGGCTTTGTTCTACCCTGTGAGAAACTGGAAGCTACCTAGTTTTTGGTTACTGAAGAGCACAACAAATTTTGTTGGTTATAGTTGTTTCTTAAACAGATGTATCAGCTCAGACTTGAAATTCTCAATTAGTTAAATTTTGCATGTACCGTTTGCTATTTAATCTGTCCGTATTCCATATTGTAGTCCATCTCTTTCTTTCACAAATAAGTAATATGATTTTGTTTTAGAAATCAGATTTCAAGACTAAACTTTATTTTTTCTCTTCATTTAAGTTCCCTTCAGCATTTGAGTTTAATGAATTATTCTTGATAACAATTTTGGATCACCTCTATAGCTGTCTTTTTGGAACCTTCTTGTGCAACTGTGAACAACAGCGCATCAAAGAGGTAAGTATATTTACTTCCCCTATTCCTCAGGCACCTGTCCTAGTAAGGTCTACCAGAAGGGGGCCTGAATGGAATGAGGACTTGGCTCCTGATCCTACTGCTGCTTGGAAATGGTGCACAGTAGTAGGAGAGATGCCCTAGATGCCTTTCCAAGGTCCTAGCAGTCTGAGCATAGGTGTCTAATACTTGTAGAAGCAGGAACTCAACAAGCCCACAGCTCTCTAAGGTGTAGGACAAAATCCATACTTCCATAGCTCAGTTTGATAGAACCCTGTTAACTTTTTTTAAAAGATTTTAATTTATTTTATTTTATATGTATAAGTATGGTGCCCTAGGGAGCCAGAAAAGAACATCAGATTCCCTAGAGCTGGAGTTCTAGACAGGATAAGCCACCATGTGGGTGCATGGAACCAAACCTCCAGGTCCTCTCAGAGTAGCAAGTGTTTTTAACAGCTGAGCCATCTCTCTAGCCCTTTTGTTAACTTCTTAATTTTAAAAGGGGGCATTAAATAGTAAATATAATGGCATGTGAACCGAATATCAATAAAGATGTTTAAAATAAAACAAAGGAAACCCACAACTGCAGAATGAAATCTATGAACTGTATCTTTACCAATTTTTGTAAAATAGGGAGTACAAGATTTATTCTTCATTTCTTTGAAAACAACTCAACATAGATTACATAACACAAAATTTACTCATCTGAAGTATACAGTTCAGTACAATCTGATATTTAATTTCATAAGTATTTCTATTACCAGTTATTCCCCATCCACCCGGCACCTAGAAACTACTAACCTGTCTGTTCTGGACATTTCCTATAAATGGACTCATACAATAGGTACATATTTGTGAGTGACCTGCTTTACCTAGTGTAAAAATTTCAAATTTCATTCGTATGCCAGCATATTCCTTTTTATGGTTAAGCAATATTCCTTTATGTGAATAGAGCACATTTTGTGTATCCATTCATGAGTTGATAGATATTTCGATTTTTTTTCTTTTTGTGACTCTTTTGAATAATGTTGCTATAAGCATTCATGTACAAGTTCCATTTCTATGCTGTCTTTTCTCTCAGGTATGTGCCTAAGAATGGAGTTGCTAGATCATGCAGTGACTCTGATTGACCTTTTGTAGAACCCCCATTATTTTCCAAAGCAATTGTATCAATTTGCATCCTTAGTAATAATATTCTGCAAGTTTTTGTCTCCCCAAATTTGCTGACACTTACTATCTTTCTTTTCAAAAAATAACCATGCTAGTAGATAGTGTGATGAAGTTTTTTGTTTATGTTTCCCTAATGATAAATGATGTTGGGCATCTTCTCATGTGCTCATTTGACATTTATTTGTTTTCTGTGGAAAATATCTCTTCAGTTCTTTGCCCATTTTTTAATTAGGTTATTTGCCTTTAAAAAATCTTGACTTGTCAGTTCTTGTATATACATTTTTATATACAAGTCACTTTTATATGATTTATGAATGTTTTTCTCTCATCTGTGGGGTTTTCCACTGTCTTTATAGTATACTTTGAAGCACAAAAGTGTTTAACTTTGATGACATCTGATTTTTTATGTTGTTTTTTCTTTTGATATCACAGCTAAGACAACATTGCTGAAGCCAAGGCCACCAAGATTTGATCCTGTTTTTCTTCTGAATATGTTACACTTTTAGCTCTTACATTTAGGTCTATGATCCACTAAAAGTTATTATTTGCATATAGCATACACAAAAAGTCCAACTCTATTCCTTTATGTTGGCTGTCTAGTTGTCACAGTACTGTTTCTTGCAAACACTGGTTTTTACCCTCCATGGAATTGTGTTATCCTTGTTGAAAATCGGTTGAATGAAGCTGTGCATGGTAATGCATGCCTTTAATCCCAGCACTTGGGAGGAAGAGGCAGGTGAATCTCTGAGTTCGAGGCTAGCCTGGCCTACCAGAATGAGTTCTAGGATAGTCAGGGCTACTCAGAGAAACCCTGTCTCAAAAAAACAAAACAAAACAAAAAATCAGTTGACTGTAAATGTTGCATGAATTAATTTCTGTACTCTGTTCTGTTTTATTGACCTTTATGTCTGTTTTTATACTAGCAACACTGGTATTTATTATTATAGCAATCATGAGTCTTCCCACATCTTCCTTTTTCAAGATTGCTTTGGCCACTCTGGATCCTTTGACTTGTTAGTAATGTTTCTTTTATAAATGACACATATAAATAATGAAGTAGTCATAATTCTATGAGAATCCTATAGCTTTATAGTTCCTGTGAAAAATATACCTTATGGAGAGTAGGCAGTCCCATGAGCTCCAGAATGGTAGAACATTTACTTGGTTTTACTTTTTATTCATGTGACTTTTTCAACTTTTAATCCATTGTTTAATGGTTATCTGCCTCCATTGTAACCACACATTTCATTGTTTTTATTCAGATGAACAAATCAAATTGTTACAACATTTCTAAAGTATATACTGTAAAATTGAAAGGGAGATATAATGTGATGGAAATACAAAGCTTTTCCAGCCTGCCCCCATAGTGTTTTCCTGCAGATAGCCATGCCATTGCAGGAGATGCTAAATCCAAATTTGACTCACATTTCTGAATATGAAGAGTCACAAAAACAAACATCAATCCAGAATAAAACATCTATTTGTTACTGATGATGCTGCTTATCCTGTAGATGCTAGAAAGTTCTTATTCCACCTTCTTACAGATACAGTTGCCATATGTTGCCTAACTTCAACACCATGGTTTCCTGGGACAGCTCAAATGTCATATGTAGCATGAGGCTGTGCATAACGTGAGGGGTGGGCCTTAGTGAATGTGCATAGATTTTTCAGTGTTTGAATTTACTTCATTATCTAAAATTCTCCCTTTATGAAATATTAATCCTTGAGGCTATGGAGAAGAACTTATTTCAATGTACTGCTCTTTTCTTTTTTAGGATATATATACAAAGACTATATCTTTATGGTCTTATGTCAATAGCCAGCTAGATGAATTTTCAAATCCCTTCTTTGTTAATTATGAGAACCATGTGTTATATCCTGTTGCTAGTATGAGTCACTTGGAATTGTGGGTAAATTATTACGTACGATGGAATCCACGGATGAGACCACAGGTAATTTTCTGTTCTTCTTTTCATAAGAGTATGTCTTTCCCTCAAAATAAAGTTAGTGTTATAAAAATGTGTATATAGTAGATACTGACATATTGAAGGTCTTTTGCCCCTAGAATTCAAGGTTCCATCTTTTGTGTTCCCATTCCAGGAGGTTCCTCACATACCAACCCTGATAGCACTTGCTGAGTTAGAGTTCAAACTCTTACATGTCAGCCTTATACTAGCAAAATGGTAGAAAGTATCACCTCTTGCTCTGTTTGATTATGAATCTTATAAATTGCAGGGAGGTATTGTGGGTGGCATAGTACCTACCTCTGCTAGTGTAGATATGGAGGCAGTAAAGGCCTATGAAAAATGCTCTGAGGTTCACTTAGAACGTAATAGAAAGCAGGTATGTGAGGAGTTGTAGATCAGGTACAGCTTGAAAGAGGAGTCAAGTTTCCCCACCCTGCTACATTATTTCACAGTAAAGTAACATTTTTTGAAATTGAAAAAAAAGGTACAGTGCCCAATAGAGGCCAATCAACCAAGCCTTTCACTGTAGACAAAATTGTAAATGGTCTTATTAAATAAAAATAATGGAGCCAAATATAGGGGTGAAAGCCTTAGATCAGAGAAGTAGGGAAAGCCACCAGCCAACCTTACCTCACCAATTCTGAGGTTCCAAATGCATGTTACTTCCTTTCTACCACACCTTTATTGCCTTACTGTTCTGCCCTCACATTGGCTATCTTAGCTCATCTACCTCACTTCCTCTTCCTACACAGTTCTGTCACTTTCTGTTTGTCTGTACAGACCTCGAGACCTCTATGGTTGGTACTATGATTAAAGGCATGTGTCATCATACTTGGCTCTGTTCCCTAGTGTGGCCTTGAAAATACAGAGATTCTGCCTGCTAAGGGATTAAGGGTGTGTGCTGTCTGGCTTCTTGTTTACTTAAAATGGCTGGCCTTTTCCCCCTGATCTCCAGGCAAGCTTTATTTATTAACATACAAATAAAATATCACCACATTTCAGCACAAATAAAATATCACCATATTTCCCCCTTCTATTCTAATAAAAAGAAAAAAGAAATAAATTATGACTAATATAAGAGAAACTATATACAATAAGTACAATAACTATATACAATATATACAAGCAATAAATACATCAACATTGTCTAATCCATTTGCATTGAGAAATTCCGAGAAAATACTCCATTATCTATCCTATTTTGGTGAGTCCAAAATGCACCTAATTCACTTTCTATCCTATCTTGTATTAATAACAGAAAACTATCTTATAATATCTTTCAAATTTATACACATGAAATCTCCTTAGTGAGTTTCTTTTCTGAATTTCTTAACCAGTAAAATTGTTACTACAATGATCTAATCTTCAACTCCCTCAGAGATCCAAAAAGGAAATAATATTACCTAGTACAAATGGGAAGTACAAACAAGCAACTTCCAAAAAAATGTGAGTTGACAGAAACAGCCAGCTGCCTGGACAGTCACCCAATGTTTCTCTGCAATGTTGGGTCATTGCCTTCAGCCTAAAGGCGTAGCTTATCTGACAGACTCATTTGTGAAACAGGATATACACAGGCCTACAGTTTAACCTCACATTGGGTGTAAAATTCCATGTACCAGATAAACTTGAATGCCACCAGTGTCCTATCATGATTCAGCATTTTAAATTCTGGAAATTGCTGATGTTTTTGGAATTTGGCTACCCATTCTTGGCTTGTGGGTGGCTTTATCTCTTTTATTAAATGCCAATCTACCATTGAGAGGTTAGACTCCATCAGCCTAGTTACTCCTTCAAGAATAACTGTTTCAGCTACTGTTCCACTGCATGCCAGAAGCCAGTGGTCCACTGCCTGTTCAGCTGCCTTCGAAGAAAGGGGCACTGTACCTTTTCTGGATTGTAAAAGTCACTTCAGCAATGGTGCCATATTGTCCTGGCCTCAGAGAATGCCTGTTGCCAAAGCTACAACCACACTTGTCTTGGCAAGGATTGGTACTCCTTTGTTTTGTGTCTTGTTTGTCCAATTTGGATAGCATACTGTCAGCAGTTGATGCGAGGGCACTTTGTTGCCCAATGGCTAACTTTTGTCACAATGAAAGTTAACTACATATTCAGTTTTATCAATGCCTATATCTTCCCTGAAATAGATTGGTGCTGCCAGGAGCAGACATGTCTCATAGTCATAAAAAAGAAAAAAAATTCTATATTATTAAAACATTTTAAATGCCATATTCTGTAGATCTCTGGAGGGTTTGAGGATGACCTATCTATCTAAAATATATTTCTATTCCTGCTTGACCTTGAAAACATACTTAATATGACTACAAGTAAGATTGTAATATGTAACTACTAATCTGCATTTCTTTATATCCTAGTAGTTGATAATAATAACATTCAAAGATTAGCAAATTGCATTACATTGTGAAATGAATTGTATAGGTACAATATACTGAACAATTAGAAATATACATATAGCATTTTAACAATATCAATCTCAAATTTGTATCATTAGATATAATTTGTATACAATTTATAAAAATCCAATCCACTGTAAAATATTTAAAACTAGTACTTATCTTTTGAAAGTAGATTCAATAATCTACCTTTTTATCTATATCATATCTATATCCTCTCTTTCTTTTCAGAGTAGATTCAATAATCTACCCTTTATTCTATCATTTCTATATATCTTTTTTTTTCAGAGTAGATTCAGTAATCTACCTCTTATCTATGTCCTCATATTCTTTTGTTTTCTTTACTTTTTTCTTTTTTTCCTAACAAGAACCTTAAATCTAATCTCCTTTGTTTAGCCTCTCTCCTGACTATTAACAATATCAACTTTTGCCGGGCGATGGTGGTGCATGCCTTTAATCCCAGCACT